AAATTGATTTTCTAGAAACAGATTATCTTTGGAATCATTTTTAGAGACGATTCTTGATAGTGCCATCCCCGGAAAAAATAAGTGCACCTTTTGATATGGACCCGCAAGGGTTTGTGGTCGATCTTTCGATGAGAGGCGTGATATAACTCGATTGGTGGATGGAGATGACTTTCACGGCCCGACTACAGCCTTCCAAGACCGCGCCTTAGCGACCGATACACCACTTCCCAAGGCCGTCACGATCTTGTGGAGCACGACAACCAGCCCCTAGGGCTACCGTCCTGCAAGCAATCGAAGAACTAGCAAGAACGAGGAAACAAGCACTCAAATTGCCAGATAAAATTGAAGGTTTCACACTGAATCTTATTATGAGTGGGGTTCCGAAGACAAGGAGACGGACAACTGGATCAGCACGCGCGCCTACAAGCAAGTAGCGATGGCTAAACTTGATCTAAACAAAACCCAAGTGTTCCTGGTGGCGGCTAAGGAGTATATGACGTGTGAAGGACGACCACAAGAGAGTTTGGGTCGTGCTCCAACCCTAGGACGCGTCCCTACTGGACTCTAAACGATACAAGCCCATTGGGCTAACTTAAGGTGGCGCAGCACCCTGGACAGAATAGACCTCTCGGTGATTTTTGGACTGTTGATGCCGCTTCTGAGCAGGTATGAGTACGAGGTCAGATCCGTATAAAAGTAGACTTTATTAGCTTTCCAACAAGTCCAGAATCACCCCAATCCGACTCCGTATGTAACCGTGGCGACCGTCGCCAGTTGGAGGTGTGCTGCAGTCCGAATCCAGCCTACGCGAGTCCTTTTCCCTTTCGGTCTTCTCCTTGATTCCTAATCAAAACAAGAGTGCACGTGTCTCTAAGATCTAAACAGGATGGACAAGAGCTCAAGAAGGAACTCACTTGATGATTAAGTTTTCGAGCACGAGCACGACTAATAGGACCAGCAGGTGTCGGCATGGACGGCGTGGATGTATGATCGGTGTTGATGTCCTCATCACCTTTGAAAATCGTTGCATAGCGTGCTATACAAAATTACGACTGCCATTACCACTGCTAGAAAACGGGACTCTTATGATTTTGTCTTTTTAGATAAAGCTCTATGATTTTGTCTACACCGATAGAAAAATTACATATTAGATTGTCGATTGGGTTGTAATCGACAGATATTACACTGTACGACACACCAACGCCACTGACGATCACGGCTAAGGCATGCACCCTTACCTTTGGACTAGATAGGATTGCGTGCGCTGTCAGAACGAAAACAAAGGACACGATGAAAAGGCCTAAATTGTCTATAATGTGGCATCCTCCTGTGAGGAAGTTATCTAGTGGTCAAACTTAGGGCATATCTAAGAGCATCTCCAAGAGTTCCGAAAACATTCTCCCAGTCGCGAACTGGCACGGGTGCTTCTATTTTTCTAGAATTATTTTAGGATTTAATGGCGCTATGCTTTTAGTGATAGGCGACGTCCCCGTCGGCAGCAAGGTGCCTGTGGTGACTTCGTGAATTTCAAGATCTATCGGCTCAGTCCTTCGAAGGTACTCATAGGAATAGGGTTTGCGTACGTGTGTTCATGGGAGTGAGTGGACGTCTACGTTGTACTGTATAATTCTAATTCTAAAATAAAACATTCTCTCCATAAGCGATTTTTGGCAAGATTGAAAAAACACATCTCCAACAATTCCCAGTTCCACCTGCAGCAATCTTTTGGCACTTAGAAAAACTCTTTTTTTACGACGAAAGAAGAATTATATTAGATAATAGCTGGTACATCAAAACGTTACAAGCACTCTGGAATACACTACGTATATCCAGAAACTGATTTTCATCCAAATCGTACCCACGTTGTGAATAGCTCCAAATCTCAACACCAAACCTGTTTGATGCTACATATAGATGACCGCACGGGCAAATACTCGGCAACAGGCCTGCGAACAGATGCCCAACGAAGAACGGCCAACATCTCTGCAAGCGAAGTTGAGAAACTTCTTCTTTCTTGTGTCTTCTTTCTGCCATCGAAGATTGAGGAAGACTGATCTAAAAAATATGCTCCCTAATCTTTTATCATGACCAGATCTAACCACAATAAAACGGAGAAGAGATCGAAGAAAATTATTCATGGTAGTGACATTATCTCCGCCTTGATGTCGTCACCCGGAAAGAAAGGTCTCCATGTTGTCATGCCGGTAAAGTTGCTGACGCTGTAGTTATTGCCCTCATTTTCAACAGACTCACCATGGAGAAAACGATTCTATTTGCCCCCTTGCCGTCGCCGAAGAGGAGGAGATAAATCTCCAACACAAAAAAAAAACTTGGCATAATGAGACATTAACCATAAGGACTCAATCTACTAGGACCACCGTTGTGGTAGAAGACGGGGCGGCGCTTAGGCGAGCGCGAGTCGCAAGAGGGAAAAGCCTCCTTCGGCGCATGCGAGAGGTGTTCCGTGGCGCTTAGAAAAACTCCCCCTACCCGTGGATTTTTCCGCGGACCGGCACACGCGCGTATCCTCTGCGCGCTACTTTCCCGGGGTAGGTGCAGTCCGTCAACACCGGCACCGTCTACGTGACGGGCTGCATGGCATGTGCCTCGACGCCGGGACGCTGGTGATCGAACGGGCTCCTGCACGCGGCATGGGCTGCTGCCAGGCGGCCATCAACACGTGCGGGGTGCAGTTCGACGGTCGCTGCTTCAACGCCACGTACATGTGCTTCAGGCGGTCATCAACACCACGGCGTACATGCGCTTCAGCGGCGACAGCGAGTGCGTCTACTCCGGGAACGGGCCCGGCGGCGGCTACTTCTGCAATTGCTCGCAGGTTACCAAGGAACCCCTACGTCTCTGGCGGCTGACTGGCCAAGCGAGGCTGCCGGCCGGCTGTGGCCGGCAGGGCGTGGCGGCTGCTGGTGCGTGCTGGGGGTCGCCGCAATGCAAGCATGGAAGGAGGCAGCGGCGACGCGTAGATGCAACAGGCCTCGCGATGTCGCGCGAAACAAAAGCAACTGCCGCAAAGAAAAATTCATGTGTGACTAAATTGTGGTATCTTAGGAGTTAATTATTGGAAACTGTTGGAGATGACTTTTTTATTCTTCCCTATACCTTTTAACGAGTTAGAAAACACTATTATTTTGGGTACTCTCGGAGATACTCTAAGAAAAGGACTAAAACAAACCATTCATCTTTTTTCTTCCCCATGTGTACGCGAAAGAACAATCCAATGGTACCTCCATCTGTACAACCACACCTCCTCTCGCTCTCTCTCAAATTTTGAGCAGGTTTAAGGAGCCCCGCATCTTAGCAATCATCGCGGAAACGTCCAGTCCGTCTACCAGGGTACGGGATGGGGGGTCTCGCCGGTGGGGAGGTCTGGCCGATCTGGCCATATTGGTGGATCCACCCTGATCGTGGTAGTATACTTTTGGGTAGAATAAATGGCTTTCACTCTTAAATACGTATGGATCCAATCTTTAAACACAGTGCATGGTCATATTTCTTGATTCAATAATTCAAGTGCTGTGAAAATGATGAACTGTGGAAAATATGAATTTAAATTATTGTGATAGCCTATGAAAATATGTTTTAATGTTTAAAAATGATGACCTGTGGAAAATATAAATTTAAATTCGACCTATGACATCTAAACTTTAATTTGAATGTTGTCGAATGTTTTTAGGATGAAATATTTATATTTGAATTATTGTGATGGTAAAATAGATTGTAAGAATGAAAGAGAAAAAAACTGAGGGGTGTGAGCCTGTTCGATTGGCTGGTTCGTATCGTTGCTGGTTCGTTTATGTGAGAGAAAAGTACTGTTGGCTGGTTCATTGGAATAATGTCCATGTGAGGGGCAGTCCAGCCAGCCAGCCAGCCCCAGCCGATCACGCTGTGTATAGATGGGCAAACAATTGGGTACCATTCTTTTTTGGCCCCTTCTATTTGAGAAAGCTTTCAAATGCACACATGGGGAGAACAGTGGCACAATCAGTTAGTGCTAGTTCCCTTGTTGGCTCATGACTAGGGATGAAAACGGATCGGATACGGACGGATATCACCGATATTATATTTGTTTTCATATTTCTGTCCGGATTCGGATTCGAATACGGATAGTGTCAACTATGTCGGATAGGATACGATTAGATATCAACATCATAAATATGCGATTTGAGTATTCGGATACTGATACGGTATCAGATGTTGGATATCCGGACTCGGATACGGACAGATCTCAACCCCTCTAAACAGATTCGGTTTCGAATACGGTCGGAAAATATCCGTACCGTTTTCATCCCTACTCATGACTTGTCATTTGCTTGTTGAGGCCTGCTAAAATGATTCCACGTGGGCCTATACTATAGGTAATATGCTGGGCCTCGGGCTACATCAAGGAATATTGTGCACAATCTACACATTACATTTACTAATTTCTTGATAAGTATTATATTAGTAATTAATATATTTAATTAACTCCGGAACGGTACACCAGAAGAAGCTGGTACCAGCAGGTTCTGTTTCAAGAGGAAAAAAAAAACGGAATGAGGACCGAAACAGAATTGACTCAGTATGCTTTGAATACAAATCTATTAATGTAGATTAAATTTGAGTAAAATGCATCATAGGTACTCAAACTATTGTGTGGTTCCCAAATAGGTACATAAACTGAAAAACCTACCAACTAGGTACTGGATCTATATTTTTTGGTCACCAGCGGTACTAACTTGGCCACGTAGGCAACATCAGCTCATGTCCAAGCCACCTTGGACGCCCATTTTGCTAAAACCCCCCAGCCAAACCATCCATTCACATTCACAGTTCATTACATATGCTAAGAAAACCACCCAGCCTAACCATCCATTCACATTCACAGGTCCCATTTTATATGCTAAGAGAACACACCATCCGAACCATCCATCCATTCATAGTGACATATATTGACTGAGAAACCATTTATTTCCATAGTTGTGGTCATTACAGCCAAGATGTCATCAGCAAACTAGGAATTGTTTTGTTGCTTCCATTACATATGCTAAGAAAACAGCAAGTTGCTGCAAATGATCTATACCTATATGAGATCACTACACAAAAGGCAACTATAGTTTCTGGACAAAAGGCAACGTATAGTTGCTGGACAAAAGGCAACTATATTTCCTGCACAAAAGACTACCTAAAGTGTTGTCTGGGCTATCCTACTGTCCAGATTGACCTCTCTTGGTCTTACCTGTCTTCTTACTAGGGACAGCACCGTTGTTCTTCACTATCTTGGTCCTTGAGGTCCTTCCGGTCTTTGTTGCTGTTGTAAGTGGAGTATGCCTTGCTGGTGGGAGGTTGGAAATGATGTAGGTAGAGTCTGGCAATGGTGAAGTAGATGGAATGTGCCTCATGTTCTGTGAAGCCTGAATACAATAGGTTACATCAGTTTTGTGATATGCCAGTAATAAATGGTTGTGACTGAAACTGAAATGAACATTACTGGTACCTCATCTAGTAGTTGTGACAGCATGGGGTTATCTACTTGGGACATTACTGGTACCTCAACTAGGTTAGTCACCTCCTAAACCAATAATAAAGTTAGATAGTTACATTTGCACATGTAAAATGTATGGTTGTGGCTGTGCACATACCTGGGAATGACTCACCTCATAACTTGGTTGTTGCTCTGGCTCAGTTGTAGTTGTAGTAGCAGTTCTAGTTGGTTTTTTTGTTTTCTTAATAGCTGGTAGGCCTGCCTTCTTTGCTTCACACCTAGCTGAGTTATGACCAGTTTGTCCACAATGGCTGCAGTGCATGATTACTCCATGTTTGGACAGCCTTGGTCCATTAGGACTTTGAACTTCATGTGCTGCCCTTTTTCTTGCCTTAGGTGGTCTGCCTACCCTCTTCTCATACTTAGGTGGCTGCACTTCTGGACCTCCAACATTCTCCCAGGAAGATTTTTCAGAACATGGATATATGTTGCAGCCATATGCATTTTTGAATGCATCAATGGAGTAACAATTTGGGAGCACTGAATCTTCTAGGATTCTTTCATGCTTCAGGCAAGAAATGGCATGGCTGCATGGTATGCCTATTAACTGCCACCTTCTGCATTCACAATTTTTGCCCATAAGATCAACCACATACTGCCACTCTCGGTCATGAACTTCAAAGATACCATTCCCACTTGGTATAGGATAGCATGTGTTGGAGAAATCAGCATGCCTAGCTAACCTTTTCCTGATCTTTGGGCATATGGCCATTCCTACCCATTTCTCAGTCACTTCTTTCTGTTTATTGTAATGCCTGACCATTAGTTGGGACTTGATCTTCTGTATCATGGTCAAGATAGGCAGTTCTCTAGCTTCCAAGATGTAATTGTTGAAAACTTCACAAGTGTTGTTTAACAGGATATCACATTTCGGGTACTCACTGAAAAAGGCTCTAACCCAAGTGTTTGGTGGCATCTTCTCTAACCATGCATAGGCATCCTTGTTGAGCACTTTCATTTTCTCCATTTCCTGGTTCCACCTTGTTACTTTACTTGGTCTAGCACATGCCCATAGTTCATTCTTCAAGTTTTCCCCTTTAAAGTGGCCTTGGAAGTTTGAGTATAGATGCCTAACACAGAACCTATGCTCAGAGTCAGGGAAAACTTGCTGGACAGCAGGGATTAGTCCTTTTTGTTTATCTATCATTATGGTCCAAGGAGTGGTGTTGTCTATGCCAAGATCCTGTTTTAGTGTCTCTAGGAACCACTTCCATGATGCTAGACACTCTACCTCTACCACTGCCATGGCTACAGGAAAGATACAATCATTTGGGTCTATGCCTACAACAGTGAGTAGCTGTCCCCCAAATTTAGTCTTGATGTGGCAGCCATCTAGACATATCACTGGCCTGCATCCACTGAGGAAACCCCTCTTACAAGCATCGAAAGACACATAAAGTGAACTGAAGTAGCCATCAAGCAAGTTCAGAAAGAAGCTACTACCTGGATTTGACTTCCTGAGTTCATGTCCATAATTCAAAAGAAGATTGAATTGCTGCACTTCATCTCCATAAATGATGTTCCATGCCATCCTTCTTGCCCTACTCAGCTTCATCCTAGAGGGGGTCAAGTTCAACTCCAACTGAACTGTCCTTCCAAAATTGGTCAGGCTCATCTTCTCATCAACCCTAAACTTGTCCAAGTACTTGTTAGCTAGCCATTTTGCAGTGCACCTCTTAAGCACCCATTTCTTCTGACAATGGTGATCACCAACATAAGATTTGATCAAGAAACATTCCATCCTAGAATCAAATGAAGCATACAAGTACCATGGACAACCAACATCACAATGAGCTTTGATTCTAGTCTTGTCATTCCATGGCATCTTTATCTCCACCCTATGTTTGATACTGTATTCTGTAATAGCCTTTCTTAGCAGTTGTACTGATGCAAACTTCATTCCAATTTTGAAAATAGGGTTCTGCAGGTCCTCTGGCCTAAAGGTCTTCAAATTCATCCCAACTTGGCCCTCTTCCTCAGCTGGTAACTCCAACTCATCCTCATCAGATGACAGCTCATCCCATTCCCTAACCGTTGCCATCTTCTCTTTGCCATATGGAGCATTTCTCTTCTTCCCTTTGCTGACTACAATGCCCTTGGCTGCACCCTCATCAACCACCCCATCATCAACATTGTCATAGAATAGGTCATCATCATCATCATCAACTTCATAGTCACTGTCTAAGAAGTACCCATCTATACTGCCATCATTGTCACTGTTGTTGTTGTTGCCCACATCATCTCTTTCAGGTGGCACCTTCCTAGGACTTAACATTTTGGGTAGTGTACCAATTGGATTCAACACAATGTCTTTGTCAAATGAATTATAGATATCAAAGTACATTACAAAGTTTTTGATCTTATATGCAAATTGGTTCATGATTTGTGTATCTGCATCTGAGTCTATAATTCTCAAACCAGTAGGCACAACCATCTCAGGCAACAACCAGTACACCTCCACATTGTCAAGTCCATGACCTAACATCACACTAATCTCATCAACTACGAAAAAACACCAATACTTCTCTTTGATATGGTCAAACCAATCAACCTTGCCATCAAGATAAATCTGATCTTTACCAGACCCACAGAAAAATCCCCCATGATGTATTTCCACAGAGAACTCGTCATCATCAAGCCCTAAACATTCAGATAAACCTAAAGTTCAGTGCTTTGCCCTGACAACCCAATCTATGCATCAAATCCATGTACTACCACACCAAGTTTGCGGCACTTACCATAAACAGGTGCTGGTTCCCCTTCCAATCGCCGGCGACCAGCCATGGTGCCATGCCACGCCGCGCCACACCTCCCACGACGACGTCCTTGGCCTCGGCCTGCTCACGGCACCCGCTCGCGGAGCGTGGCGACCGCGCCCCTCACGAGGCCGCTCTCGCCCCCATCTGACCCCCACTGAGCACACCCCTCACGAGCACGTGGCAAGATGGGGAGGCAGGCAGCGGCGAGACTGGAGGGAGGCGGGTGGCGATGAGATTGTGGGGGAGGGGGGTGGCAAGAATGGAGGGGCTGGCGGCGGCAAGACTGGGAGGGCCGGGCGGCGGCGATTTCACGGGCGGCGGCGGTGTATCGAGAGAATACGAGAGAGAGAGAAGACCAGCACGGGAGACTTCAGGGACGGGAGGGGTTTCAAATTGTCATGCACCTAGGGACCAAGAAGTGACCGCCACATTCAAGGGGGGGGTTCAAAGAAAATCCCATGACGATTATTGCGATCTTTGGTGCCTACGTGGCTTGTCCACCTAAGCTGTTGTTGCCTGCGTGGCCTAATCTTGTGCTGTTGGTGACAAAAAATATAGATCCAGTACCTAGTTGGTAGGTTTTTCAGTTCGAGTACCTATTTGGAAACCACACAATAGTTTGAGTACCTGTGGTGCATTTTACTCATTAAATTTTATCTGCTATAAACTTGTACACCATCTTTAAAATTTTAAAATAATGCATTTGTAATATAGTACTGATCAATCAAACCAATTTGAGTTTGACCTTATTTATGCAAAAAAAAAACAATATTCATAATACCAAATAAGTGTTATTAGATTTGTTATATGAAATATACTTTCGCAGTATACCTGTTTGATGTTATACTTTTTTTGAGAGGTGATGTTATACATATTGATACTCTTTACTATGAACTTAAACAAATTTTAGATAGTTGACTAAAGGCATAATTAGAATTGCACTTTTCAATTCTTAAAAAAAAAGAATTGCACTTTTTGGGACCGGAGGTAGTACATAATTTGACACATGGTCAAAGTATGTAAAATTTGGTATTTTTTTCTATATGAAATATGTTTATTATGATCAATCAGAGGGAGTGGAGTGATATATATAAGGTAGGGTGTAACGAGGTGCTATGGCAACAGGTGTGCTACTTAGAGATGGGCCGGTGTAACAACCCGAAAAATCCTATAACCCAAAAATCACAACTTTCAAAAACTTTTCTAGAAACCCTTGTGTGATGAGTGATGCATGCTAGGAAGCCACCTTAGTTGCACAAGTAGCACCTACATCTAGAGGAGTGAGCATTTGCATTAATCCAACTCTTGATTTGCTTCTTTTACCTTATGTGATGAGAATAAAATTTGATCAACCTTTACTAAAAAGATCTTGTTGTGTGTGAGACCAAAACCTTTGGCCTGACCTCTGAAACCCTAAGGTAACCTAGGTCATCCCTACTAGGGTAGTATACATTAAGGGTTAGAAAATAGAAATAGAAAATAGAAAATGGTTTAGAAATAAGAAGAAAAGGAGAAAGGAGTAAGTGGCCCAGCAACCCACGCGCGCGCCCGCGCCTTACAAAAGTCGCCCGCGCCAAATGCGCCTTCACCATGTCCCGCTCCCTCTCTCACCCGTCACTGACAGATGTCTGTTGGTATTTCTTAACGTCACTACTAAGTACGGGGTTTGAATCCATCCTCAGCAATGGCGTCAGAAATACCATGTATATACTTCTAAGCAACATAACTAATGTGTAGCCTTGCTACTAAGAAATAGCCATGATAGTTCCTTAACAATTTTAGATATTTATCTGCAAGCGCACGGAGTTATCAATGTAGCATTTCACCCGAAAGTATTCAGGGTATCGTTATTTATATTTTCCCAAAGGATGGGATTTGATTAAGATTCTAGTATGGATATGAACTTGAATAATAATGCTTGCAAGTACACCAATGCTTATAACAGCGGTAAGAACAGTAATTCCAAGATAGTAGACACACACTTGACATTCCTCAAAGGATAAAATAGAAAAGAAAAGATAAAAGAACAATCCTAAGTCGAGCAGGCATTGGTCTAGTGTAGTCATACAAAGATTAGTTGATAATCATACAAAATACATAATTAGTTTTAGGGCTAAGTGTGAAGCATGTCGGGAGGCCACAGAGTACTGGTCTGCCAGCAACCTCATGTGACAATTTAGACTCCTACACCCTAAATGAACGTGGGGGATTACGAAGGACGAACATGGCTGTCACACCTGCCGCCTACCCCTCAACCGGAGAGGGATAATGCATTCACCTGTCTCTCCATACCCAAACACCACGCTTGCGTATACAGAAACTACCCAAATCCCCTTGAGTCCCCGACCCTACGGATCGACAGGTAAAATACTTGGGCACACCTGACAACACGATGAACGACCACCTCAACTTAGCTCTAATTCTGATTATATAAGTTATATGATTGTTTAATCATAGAGTTAAGTGTGCTACTCTCATGACACATAAACTCTACACTAGTTCATATATCAAGATCATAACACTATAACTATACTCCAGTTCATATGTATGACTATAATAATAAAGTGAAGACATGATTTTGGAAGAACCCATATTGATATTCATACCAAGAATCTCTTCTTCTAAGGAGCCAAGCCATCTAAGGTGGTTTTGCTTTGCTCTAATACAACTAAAAGGTAAAACTAAAGAGAGTAGAGAGTGAGGTGTTGCTCAATGTGGTGTGTTTGCGAGAGGGGGGTACCCCTCTATTTATAACGGAGGTATGGCGGTGCTCTAGCTATTCTTGGCACGAAGCCCCGGGTTGCACCGCCTTAGCATGGAGCCATGCCACCACCTGTCGAAGGAGAGGCTGAGGCTCTCCAGCAGGGGGCCGGCCCTTGACTACGCAGCCTCGCCATCGTCTTTGCATGGCAGGCCATGGGCTGGTCATGGATCACTGCTCCATGGGTTTTTGCCCAATTTTAATTGAGTTGATGGGCGTCTCCCTTGTTCCTTCGCGCAAATCAGCGTCGGAAAGCGCCTTTTGGTGATTTATTCCATGTATTTGTGTTTCTGACCTGCAAAACAATGTTCTCCAAATACATGTGGAGCTTGATTAATAGTAAATGCATATATGATTAAGATTGCTAATTTCTCCTCTTTTTGTGACTTATTTGGCCATCGGATTTGATCGATAGAGACCGCCAATAAGCTCCCCCAATCTTAACCTTTTCTCATCACGAGCAAATAGCTAAGTTTTTAGTTGTTGATCAGTAGTTGCTACAATGACGAATATAATTCACAAGTGCCATGCCTATAACAAAGTATTCTTCCTCAATTTAAATAAGTTTGGCATTCTATCTACCCTTTTAACTCAATCCCTGTGGGGCTTATTGCTTTTCCAAGTCTTAGGCGGTTGCAAGATACAATGATTTAATAGAATTATCAATCATTCATTCTTTCATCAATCTTCTATCCGGAGGTTTTATGAGTTTTGCAAAAATAAAATGTAAGTTCCTCAAATGATTCACTCGATCGCTCAATGTGTATGATCCTCTCCAAGGCATTTGATTGTTTTGCCTTCTTTTCATCCTATCACTAAAGGCTTTGAGTGGAGTCTTTGGGTAGGAATGAAATGAGAGGCATACTTACATCACATATATAGCTAAGTCAAAAACCGGATCCAAGGAGATGCAAGTCATACACTTTGATCAAGATGTGCAAGTGTGGAATATGTTCTAATCCTAATATTTTTGGTACTCCTTTGATCATGACTTTCTTTCTTTTGATATTTGCCTTAGAAGTATGGGCTATCTCTATCTCTTTTCTTTTGTTTTTCAATACTTTGGAACCTTCATGTGTTCCATTCTTTTTTTTCTTCTTTTCTTTTGCTACTTTGAGAGCTTCATGTGTCTCTCTCTTTTTTAGCATAGCCCCATACTTATTTTTGGCATATGAAAACTTTGGAGAGAAAGACTCATGACCAATGAATGGAGTTTTTATTTTAGGTGGATAGAAAATATGTTTTTGCGTAACTCTCAATGTAAGAGTTAGCATTTTATTTGTGGGTGTACGTGAATCTTGATCATGGGTGCATGACGAGAATCTCAACTAGGGTCACAACAATTTGACAAAACTCAATGTGAATATAAGTAATGTATGACTAAGGTTTGCATTTGAATCATGTCATATGGCCGTGGTAGGAATTCATAACCATTGAGGAACTTTTGATTTTAGCATTTTGAAAATGAAAACTCAGGATGTCAAGTTTCTCTTAGAATAAAGTCATAGCATATTCTATTTATCATATCATAACTTGCAATAACTTAGAAAAGGTTCATGCTTTTGCAATCGATAAGTTTTAAGTTTTAAGGATTAGATATTTTAGCCAACAAACTTAAATCTTGGGGAATACTAAGTTACAGCCTAGGCACAGATGAATTATGGACAGAGCAACTATTCATCATTTCAACAAAGGATGAACTAAATATTTGTACAACACATATTTGGAGTGGAATATTTTTGTTCTTCATATCTCATCATTCTTTAAGTATCAGATGATAAAATAGCTAAAAGAAATGTGATATACAAGTTACCTCTGTGGGAGTCCTCCCCCAAGTTAGCTCCTGACTTATGGTCTGTGGTTCAATAAGGAATGCTGCTGGCTGGTGGACACTGTGGCCTAATTTGTGGCCTCCTTTGAGCGTGCTAGGAGGCTCCCCCAGCTTGTCTTATGTTGACATTGAAATAACAGGACAACCATACTTGGGGTCAAAAGTTATTATTATTATTATTATTATTATTATTATTATTTTAGTCACGGTTTACCAAACAAGTTTTCATCTCTATTGTCATCTCAAAGACTTACCCTCATGAAGTTTATAAATTTCTACAAGGGTCAGTTCATATGATCAACCAAACTCTACACTAGCAGTTTTGGTTCAATGATCAAACTAGACGCAATGTCTAATTTGATTAAGGCTGGATTATTAACCTAAGCACCATGCTTAATTAAAAAAAAAACTACAGAAGTATGATCATTACATC